TTAATACAGCCAATCATATTAACTACTTGAGGAATTTGTTGACAAAGAGAGTATTCAAATCACACAACAAATTGAAGTGAGAACTATCTCACAATGTCATTGTTTGACAATTAGCAGTTAGCGGTTAGCGTTAGCGGATTTGACCAGCGAATTATATCAATGATTGATAAAAAGATATTTGAAAAAATTAACTGTTTAGATTAACATGTAAAATGACCTAAGGGTATACATATATTTAATACTAATAATAATAATTGTTTTATAAAAATAAAAAAAAATAAAAAAAATAATTAAGCCAATCATATTAACTACTTGGGGGATTTATTGACAAAAAGAGTATTCAAATCACACAACAAATTGAAGTGAGAAACTAACTCGCAATGTCCTTGTCTGGCAATCAGCAGTTAGCTCTTCAATATTGGTATATATTTAATATTTTATGTCCTAATTTTTATTTGCTCTCCCATATGTCCCATATTTGGTCTCAACCATACCAATACAATTATTTTATTGACAATTATAATCAATCTTTACTATATTATCTTGCATTTGTAAACTTAGAATTACCTATTTAAATACGCAAATTAAACATTTAATTATCTATGCATTAAAAATTCCAATATAATCTTGCATTGATATACTTTAAAGTACTTATTTAAAAAAAAAAAAAACATTGGGCATTATCCCAATTGCGCGTAAAAAATTATATATATCTACTATACTAATAAGAACCCAAGAGAGTTAGACCTATAATGGGTAGAAAAAATGACGGTCAAATTTTTTAATCAAATGAATTGCTTAGATCAGATTTTAATTTTTCTTAAGATTTCCTAATTTATCCTTAATAAATATGATTATCCGTTAACTTTTTCGTTAAGTATTATCTTTTCCGTTAATTTCTGTTAGTTCACCGTTAACTTACTCATTGATTTTAATAAGAAAAGTCTTATATTCGAACCCCATCCCAATCAAAGTTGGCATAATTAGTACTCTATTTTACTCATATTAATTAAACAATAATTTAGTGCTACAAAAAAAAAAATACATAGTGCTACAAAAAAAAAATACATATGCATTTCTTTAAGAGTTAATAACTGATCTAACTGATCTGGTCTTTCGACTATTGCGAAACTACCAATTTGATTCTCGACTATATTTTTTACAAAATTAAGTCCTCAACTTTTAAATTTTTACTTGATTTCGTCCTCTGTCCAATTAACCGTGAAGTATCCGTCTTCTCCAAGGACAAAAATATAAATATACACCGTGAAGTGTGAAGTATCCGCCTTCCTCAATTTACACTTCGACTGCCCCCTCTCCTTCGCCGCCAGCCACCATCTCTTCCACAACCTCCTCATCCTCCACCGGCGTCGCCGGCTGCTTTCCCCTACACACACCACCATTAGCTCTCAATTTCCAGCAATTACTCAATAAATGCCCAAATCGACAGCAATTTGAGCAAAATTTAGGTATATGCTCATAATCGATCCTCT